AGGGTGTCAAACCTGCGCTGCGGGCGGTGGAGCCAGGCCCTGGGCTGAGAGCCCGTGACCGGCCAGCAGCACTATGGCTCGGGGGGGGGGGGGGGGGTCCACATGTGACTTTAATTACACTCGGTGCCCCAAGGGCTGGGCATTCAGCGGGGTGGGGGGGGAGTCTGAAATAGGCCGGCGAGTCGCCAGACTGGGTGTCTCCCGGTGGGTTACAGTTAGTAAAGGGCGGAGTCAGTGACACTTTAGTCAGGGTCAAGCCCTGGGGGTGGGTGTCAAAGTGTGTGTGGTGGGGGGGGGGGCTCTGCAGCCCCAGTGCTTCTGATGCAGATCCCTGACACCTGCCATCAGGCCAGGTCCCCTGCTTCGCCACACAGGCCCCCATGCGCCCGCGGCTCTGCCTCACCCCCCCTTGCCCTAGGACTGTGTCTGGCACACACATAAATACCCGCTCGGCCAGGCTGAAGGCAGCTCGGCTCCCCCACCTCCCAGCCTGCATGATTGTGTTTGAAACAAAAAGAAAAGGTACAGAGTTGACCACCTTACATTAGTAACTGACACGACCCCTCAGCACTGCCGGGCTAGAAGGGTCTATACAGAAAGGAACGCTGGGTAGGCCACAGCCCAACGGGGCCACGACTGTCTGGCCCTGAGCTCTGTGCCACAGCCCAGCCAGGTGACCCTGGGGGGGAGGGGGACTCCCTGCCCACCACAGTCAGGGGGGAGCCGACTCCCAGCTTCCTAGTTGCTGTCTGGGTGCCCATGCCTTTCCAGCAGCCCAATAGCATGGCTTTGCTCCAGCGGGGGGGGCACCATTCCCCACTGCCTGCCCAGATCTGTAGGAGTGGGTCCCTGACAAGGAACCGGAGTCCAGCAGGAAAACCCCATCTGGCCCCTCCCACTAGCCTTGCCTGGCTGGAGTGTGTTCACACAGCTGTTGGCTGAGCACCCAGGGGCCACTAGGGGACTGGCTGATTTCAGCTGCCTCCCCTGCGACTACGCGGGCCTGGGAGACCGGCAGCGCCTTGACAGTGTTTGGTAGCGGGGGGAGTGTGTGCGTGTTGGATTGGGTGTACACAACTGGCTCTGGAGCTCACTGGCTGCGTCTGAGCCCCGGGGAAAGGGCTGGGCTCGGGCTGACTTACGCTCTGCTCTGAGCGACCGCGCTGGAGTGGACACGTCATTCATGGACTGTATCCCACGGATCTCGCAGACGGTGATTCTTCAGCTGGGGCCAGGATGGCTGGAGGGACTGGAGGTGAGCAGGGGCCTTTCACCTCTAGTCTGAGACTTGGGCAGCAGCAGCACAAGCCGAGCCCACTCCTTGACTAGGGGGACCCTGGCGAGGGGAGTTCAGGCCTTACGTCCTAGTCAGACATGGCCCCTCTCCTGGGGCAGCCTGCAAAGAGGGCAGGACGGGGGGATCCAGGGGAGCCATCTTGCATTAGGAAATTAGGAAACCCCTCTCAGGTGGCCACTGAACAGCTGCAGGGGAGAGTTACAGGGATTTGGGACAGAGAACGACTGGCCTAGAAGTGAAAGGCTCCCTGGGACACCCGCTCTCCCTACGTGCTGTCTGCTGGGCCTCACGCTCACACTCCCAGCCTGTGCCCTGGCCTGGTCTCCCAGCCACTGGCCTGCTCTCGGCGTGCTGCTGGTACCTTCCTTGGGTTGGCTGGGTCCGTGGAGAGCTGGTGGGCGTGTTGCTCCCGGAGTGCATGAAAAGTGCTGGCGTGGCTGTGCCTGTCCAGTGGCGCAGCCTACGAGGGACGGGCCCCGCTGTCTTTTCCCCCACCGCTGCCTGCGGCTCCGCTGAGGTCCATGGGCGGGAGCTCCCAGGAGGGGTGGGGGTTTCCGGGTGGCCTGCTGCCTAGGCCATGCTGCTGGTGGAGCAGGGGGTGCTCTGGGTGCTGCCGATGCTGTGATTGGGGCTGCTGCTCTCGGAGGCTGGGGCGTTGGTGGCGACAGGCTGCAGCTTGGCCATGGGGCCTGGGGTATGTTACATGTCAGAAAAAATGGAAAACATTAGGCAGGCGCCAGGGGTTATTTCCCCCGCCAGGCCAGAGGGGCTGCTCCCAGCCAATCAAGTGCTGAGGAGGGAACCGAGAGCATCCTGCCCCTGCCCAATCACGGCCCTTTCGGTGCTGAGATAAGCCAATTGTCCCTGTGTTTACACTGGCACTGGAAGGAAAAGGCCTGAGTGGCCAGAGATAAACCAATCAGCTGGTCCCCGCTGGGACGGGACGGCCTATTCAGGAGGGAGAGAAGGCGACAGGCTGCAGGATTGTGTTGTGGTTGTTCTATTGATACTGGCGCATTCGGCAGATAAGCTTCCAGGCAAGGCAAACCGGGAACAACTGCTCGGGCCCTTGGGAACAGGAGCAAGGCTCCAGCCGTGAGATCCTCGGACAGAGCTGGGGCCTCACCACAGCAACAATCAGCCTCGCTCCCCGCTGGAGGCCTCGGGAAAAGGGCCGGGTGGACCGTACCAACCTGACAGCATCTTCCCTGGCTCGCGGTGGGATGGGGCTACAGGGCAGATGCACCGGCTGGGGGTCTGGCCTGAAGTGTCTCTCGCTGGGCACAAGAGCTATAGCCCAAAGGCTGCGTCTGAGCCTGGAGCAGACCAGCAGCTGACCAGCACCTGCCAGCCGAGGATCCCCCGCCGCAGCACTCCAAGGAGAGACCCCAGCTCCTGCTGAGTAGACCGAGCTCACCCCAAAGCCATGGCACTGGGAACCGTGGGGGGGGTGTGTGTGGGGGGCAGAAGGCGGGAGACTAGGGTGACTGGGGCAGAGACGAGGCGAAGCAGCAGATACTCACGGGTATGGGAGTAAATGCACCAGAGCGCCGCGGTGAGGAGCGTGCCGATTAAGAACGCTGCGAAGGTGATCCCCACAACTGCTTCTATCCCTAGGCCTGGAGCCGCACAGGAGAGAGGAGCATTGAGAGCAGTCAGCACATTTCTCCAGACAGGGGCTCCCCTCTGCTCCCCGATAGCCCCCCCCACCTCCTGCCAGGTTAACACACTATGGAGCCTTCTCTCTGCCCAGTCAGGACTTCTCTACTGAATCCTGCCCCAGAGCCTCCCTTTTCCACGCAGGCACCTGGCCAGCTCAGGAACTAGCCCAGGTGAACCCGCGGTGGGAACTGAACTACGGGGCGATAAGCAGGGCAGGGGTTTAGCCCTGTGGGGCGGATCTGACTGAAAGGCCTGTGGAAGGAGGTGACTGCTAGGTTTGAAGGGCTCCGCTCCCCTAGCAGAGCAGGATCGGCAGCTCACAGGCTGTGCCAGTCCCACCAGGCAAGGAGGAGTGAGGGCAGGACCAAAGCTTGCCAGTGACTTGAAATTAACCACTTAAAGGGAGACAGAGAGAGAGCAAAGCAAATGGCTTTTAAGTGGCCTTGCCCCCAACCCCTCTGCACCAGTCTGACTCTGCCCCTCTGCTGCACGGGGGGACGGGAGGTTTAGAAATGGGCAGAAGCAGGTTTCGCTGCAAGCTGACCATGCGCTTTGGGCCACGCGGTCCTGCAAGCTGCTGCACGCTTTGGCCAAGGCGTCCCAGCTGCGATCACACCTGTCCTCGCCTTAGGCCATGTCTGTACGAACAGCCCTCAGCAGTGCAGCCGTCCTGCTCCAGCTGTGCCACTGCAGCGCGTCCGGTGGAGCAGCTCTGTGCTGACGGGCGACAGAAAATGCCCAGAGCACTACCTTGGTGCAGCATTGAAATGCAGCCACCTCTAGGCGTGGGCGTGGCAGTGCACAGGAACACGACACTGATGGTGGATTTTCTGCAGGCGGGTTAACGAGGAATGCCTGGCAGTTGAAACCACACGGAGGATTCCAGATGAGGCTGAATGTAGTTACACTAAACACGAGTGGGGAGGTGGGGGGGGCGCGCACCCCTTGGGATCTTTCATGGGCACAGATATTCAGGGCCACAGCTCCAAAGAGAGCAATACCAGCAACACAACCCCCCACAGCCGCCACCCAGGGGCACTGGCTCAATACGGACTCAGAGAAGAATCACACCACCGCTGCCTGCAGCACCTAGCCAAGGAACGATCAAGCCCTTGCTCTGATTTATTTATATGGTGCTTGCTACGATCTCGCAGTGCCTTGGAAGCCCCACCTTGCTCAGGTGGCTGGAGGCAGCCTGA